AGGACGAACTGGACCGGAGGCAGGAGGCGGCGGAGCGGTTGAGGGGTGAGCTGGATGAGACGCAGGACAAGGTGGACAGGAAGAAGGATGAAGTGGACAGACTGCAGCAGGAGGTGGAGTCACGGCTCAGGAACAGAAAACGGCAGCAAACGGAGCTGCAGGTCAGTGAAGCATCCTCTGATCCAGACACGCTGCCATCTCACTCACTGATTGTTGTTTCAGTTTCCATGGTAACAGTGTGTGGCTGTAGGTCTCCATGATGTGTGTGTTCCTGTCAGGACTCAGAATAGCAGAGAACCCCTTCTTACCTCGGCTCTACAGGTAGAACCCAGGAAGCTATGAGCAGGTATTAGACCAGAAACAGAGAAGTGCTTTAAATCATGCTGTCTGTCGCCTTGGACGAGGAAGAAAGACATCCAGAGTCAGCTTCAGTGTTTTATTATAAATACACTCACACACTAAATACACAACAATCCAGTGCATCCAGTCCTGGTGTGTTGTTGTTGTGCAGCTGGTGTGTTGTTGTTGTGCAGCTGGTGTGTTGTTGTTGTGCAGCTGGTGTGTTGTTGTTGTGCAGCTGGTGTGTTGTTGTTGTGCAGGAGCTTCAGGAGGAGCTGAGCAGGAGGAGGGAGGAGAGCAGCAGCCTGCAGCAGCAGTGCAAACAGCTGGAGGCCCGACGGAGGCACGCCGACAGGTAACACCGAGGTTCAGGTACCAGTCGATCCTCATTTAGAATCTGCTGATGTTGACATGATAACACACAGCGCAGGTACCGTAGACCAGCTGCAGTACCTGGTTGTTCCACCAGGTGGAGCCTCTCACTGTCTAATCCTGTAGAGACCAGAGGAGGCGTCACTTCCTGGTTGGCAGCAGAGAGCATTGTGGGAGTTTAGCAGCAGCGGGACCATGACAGAGACTCTGAGGAGGTTCAGGACCTCCAAGCAGAGCTCACATAGTGGAGAAGAGCAGGTGTAAATGGACAGTGGTTCTGGTTCCTGGTGACGGGTAGCACAGCTGCCATCAATTAGCCAGTTACTGGTTGATGAAGGTGCCTTTAATCAGAAAACGATCCAGAACGTGCTTGTGCAGCATCCTGCCTCAAACTGCTTCCCTCCATGACAGCCGTGTGCCAGCAGATGGACCGAGTCGGACCGAGGTCCCGCTGACACCGATCCGCTGCAGACGCTGAACACTGAGGACGTGCAGCCTGGATGAGGACCAAAACGCTGCCGCTCTGTTTAAACATCCTGTACCAGTTTGACTACATGTGCTGACTCTCAATGTGTCAGGTGTCTGTCAGCGGTGGAGGCGGAGCTTAACAAGCAGAGGGAGGAGCTCAGCCACGCCCAGCTCCTCAACCAGGAAGTGACCAGAGATACAGCAGCCAATCAGCAGCAGCCCAGCGGTATGACATCATCACTGTTAACATTAAAGAGCCCAAGTTGTTCAGGGCTTTATGAAGCTGTGGTCTGAGCTCAGCAGGCGTCTGTAGCCCTCCTCAGGACCTTCATACCTGGAAGGTGCTTCTAGACACAATGTGTGAAATATTTGTTGGTGTTCATTGACGTAGACGTTCACACTTTGTTAAACACATCTTCTGATAAGCTGACGTTTTATTGGTTCCCTCTTTTTATATTTAAAAAACAACAGCTGTCAGCTAAACCAAAGGCCTGGGGTCCAAACGGGTCGCATAGTGATGGAGACAATCGGACAGAATCCTCCAACATGACAAGAAAAAGAATGGCTAAAGCTAACGTTTGTACAATGAGCCCCAGAACAGCGACGGAGGCTAACCAGGGTATTTACTGTTCAGTGGGTCTGAGGGCGCCTCACCGACACGCCAGTTAAAACAAACACGGCATCAAAGGGGACTCAGTTGGTTCTGAATGCTCAGAAACGGACCAATGGACCAAACGTTTGGCCAAAATTATCTGTGGAATGAGCAGGAACCATGTCCAAAAGGACAGAAGGTTAGTTCAAAAGACAATGAAAATGAGCCTCGTAGCAAACTGAAGGACAGGAAGGACCAGAACCGAGCAGAACGTGGGCCTTTACAAACTACTGCATGCATTTATATTTACTAGACTGCAGCACTGACACTGTCAGTGATGTTTGTTGGTTCTGACTCATCAGGTGACGAGCTGAGGCAGCGACAGGAGCAGCTGCTGCACCAGGGGGAGGAGCTACAGCATGAGAAGGAGGAGCTAAAGCATGAGAGGGAGGAGCTACAGCACGAGAAGGAGGAGCTAAAGCATGAGAGGGAGGAGCTACAGCACAAGAGGGAGGAGCTAGCACATGAGAGGGAGGAGCTACAGCACGAGAGGGAGGAGCTAAGGCAGCAGGGGGAGGTGCTAAAGCATGACAGGGAGGAGCTAAAGCAGCAGGGGGAGGTGCTAAAGCATGACAGGGAGGAGCTAATGCAGCAGGGGGAGGTGCTAAAGCATGAGAAGGAGCGGGTAATGCAACAAGAGGAGGAGTTAATTTGGCAGAGGGCGGCGCTACAGCTGAAGAGGGAGGGGCTAGATAGGAAACAGGAAGAGCTTCGTGTGAAGGAGGAGGAGCTCCATGAGACGGAGCTTCACAGAAAACAGGTGAATCATTCAAAGCCAATTAGTTCCTGTGGTTAAGTGAACAGGCGACGTGAAGCTGCTGTGATCTGGTTGTGCAGGACGACGGCCAGGAGGCGTCATCAGAGGAGGAGGAGGAGTCTTTCTACCTGTCGACAGGTGTTCAGAGATCCGCCCTCAGCGCTGAGGTCAGACACGCACATTGTAATCTGACTGTTTATATTGTGATGTGTCTGACTGGGTTTCCGTGGTAACTGTGTGATAGTGCAGTGACGTGTTGCCATGGTAACCGTTTCAGGAGCAGAGCTGGACGGTGGAGCTGCAGAGAGAAGAGCTGAGACAGCGAGAGGATCGGCTGAAGGTACAAAACAAACCCACAGAGGAGGCAGCAGAACGTTTGACCCACCAAACATCAGCTGTTGATGTTCTGAAGACGTTCCTGTCTTCATGTCTCCATGAACACAACCGCTCATCCAATCTCAGAACATGAGAGTTCCTGGTTTAGTTAATGAGCAAAGCCACACATCAACCCAAAGACAGTTTGTGTGTTCTGAGCTGACAGCGGACTGAGCTGTGGATCAGAACCTCGGTAACTGAGTGTTTGTGTTCAGGCTCGTCTGCGCTGCAGGTTGTGGACTCAGCAGCAGAACCTGAGGCGTCTGGAGACGGAGGAAGGTGTTCTGGATCTGAAGCAGCGACTGGACCAGCTGGACTCGCTACTCACGGGCGGAACCAGAGACGTGACGCCGTTTCATCAGGAGTCAAGACCTGAAACCAGAAACGAGCAGCTACTTCCTGTTTACGATGAGGTCACAGTGGGAGGAGCTAAACTGGACTAATTACATGTTTGACAGTAAACGTTTCACAAAACAGCTTCATGGACACACAAGTTCTGTTCTCCAGATTTAAGGCAACATTTAAAATGTGACTGAGGTTCAGAACCAACATGGATCAGAACCAGTGGCAGTAAATATTCTCGCCTCTGCAGATGAACAAACTGAAACACTTTGATCTCCAATAAACTGTTTCTGCTGCAGCTTCGTGTGTCGCTTTATTTCAGAAAAACAAAACCCATGTCATGTTCAGACCCAAACTAAAGCCTGAAAACGTTTCACAGAACCAACACCAGTCCTTCAGAACGTGGATCCATCCGCCGCTGAAAATAGTCCCAGCAAACGTCCCGTTAGTCGAGTCTCATCAGATCAAACCTGAAGCTCTGAGGTTTCCTTCCAGTTCATCCACAACTAAGTTTGAACTCTGCTCAGTGTCCGTCTGCGTCAGTCCCGCCTCCATCACCTGTCCGTCGCCACGGTGACCGTCTCCAGGCAGCGGAGGACCTCGGCGCTGCAGCAGCTGCTGTCGACCTGCAGGAGGCGCCGCTGAGACAGAAACACAAACGTTCAGATGAAACTTTCCTCAGAACAGCAATCTGCAGTTTGATACAAACCTCATCCCGAAGCTGAAGGTTTGATTCTGATCTAGTGAAGCAGAAGAAAGTAAAGACTGGCTATCACCTGTACTGAAGTACTTGAGTAAATGTACTTAGTTACATTTACTTTGGGAGGAAATCTCAACATTTTCATTTTTGGAAATAAAACGTCCGGCACACACACGTGTATGCAGTCGGTGATGCAGAAATCACATAAACATGTTGTAATGTTTGGTTCTGATCTGCTGTCAGGTCCGTTTCCTCTGCTGCTGCTGCTGCTGCAGCTGATAGAACGGATCAGAACATGGATCATTCTGCTGGTATTGATCACAGAGAACATCCAATCAGTAACATTGATTCACTCTGATTGGGCCAAAAGTTAAAGTGATTTCCTGCATTCTGGGACAGAGTCAGACCTGAATGAGCTTCAGCACCAGATCAGGTTTAAATGTATGAAGGTGAAGTTTAACGAGCAGCTGTCAGCTGGAAACCAGCGGCTGCATCACTAAATATTCTCTATGAACACGTTGAACACTTTCTACCAGCATTCCTGTCTCCACCGTTTACAGTAGCGGCATCATGGTGATGTTCCTCATTGTTCTCCATTAAAACAAGGAGCTGACTGAAGCAGCTGCTCATCATCGATTCATTCAGAGCAGAAGAAGAGTCACATGACGCCTTAACGCCTCCTTTAATGAGAACAGAGTCTGAAGCAGGAAGCTGGACCTCCTTCATGTGGTCTCTGCTGGAGCTTTAGTTCATGTGGAGCCGCTACACAGAGAAGGTCTGGATCTGTTGAACTTCATAGTTCAGCCCTCTGGTCACCTGTCCGTCACTCACCTGCACGTCTCCATGGGAACAGGCATCCAGCAGTTTGAGGCAGACGCAGGTTTGATCCATCAGCTGCTGTCGGATCGAGTCTCTGAGCTCAGAGTCGGAGGAAACGTCAACCAGCAACCGCAGCAGGCAACACAGCAACGCGTTGCTGCGATGCTGCATCCTGCAGAGACGACAGACAGAAACCAACTCATCATCTGTCAGTCACAGACAGAGAGGTGTTCTACCTGAAGGGGGCGGGGCCAGCAGGTCAGATCCTGTTAGCAGAGTCAGGTTTAACGTGACATAATCACAGCACACGTTTTCTCTTTCTGTGTCAACACTTACTTATGGCACACGTGTGCAGTCAAGCAGTCACATGACATGCCGTAACCATGGTGACAATACAACAACATAGTTTAGGGGTCTCATCAACACATGACATGAGAGCACAGCTTCACGGACCCAGACTGTAAATAGTGTTGAAGGATCAACAGGTGTGAGAGTGTGCTGCTACCTGGGCCAGGCCGCTCTGATCGTGTTCTGCAGAACCTCCAGAACCTTCAGCCTGCTGGTCTCCTCTGGTGGGTCTCTGATCTCCAGGTATCCCAGAACCACCCGCTCCAGCCGCTTCAGGTGTCTGCACACGGCCACGCCCATCCTGCAGCGAAACAAACACACCTGAAGCTCCGAGCTGCAGCCGGGTCGCTCTGGTCCAAACCTCCAGGCTGGTACCTCACCTCAGAACCACATTCATGTATTATTAACACTCGGATCCAGTCAGATTTACTTCCTGTGCAGCGACTTGAAGCTGGAGACGGTTTTTATTTGCTGCTTCTGAACAGCGTTAATTCAACGTTTCTGTAAACGTTTGGTAAACGTTCGGTAAACGTTTGCCTTACTGAGTTTCTCTCCTGTCGCACTGACATGTTCTTATGTTTTATGATGAACGTGGTTCTGATTCTGTTTCTAAGCCTGTGAACCGAGGAGCAGCTGGTTCTGTCTCATCGGACCAAACTCAGCACCTTCAGAACATTTGAAGTGTTTCTGTCTCAGCATCATTTCTATCATCCTTCTACGGTCCACTAAGAACCGACCACAAGGTTCTGTTTTGTCCTCTAGCTCGCGACCAGAACACGTTCACTGATCACTGATCTAAACCCAGAACCAGTAGCTCACGGGTCAGAGCGAGCCGGACCTTTGGACGTAGGGCGGCAGCGCGGCGGCGTAGACGCGGCGCAGCGCCACCTTGTGCTCCGCCTCCATGTGGGTCAGAACCAGACGCAGCACGTCGTCATGGCGACTGTTCTTCCTGGGGGGGCAGGATGGGGCCAGCGAGGAGGGGGGCTTCTCCAAGACCAGCAGCAGGTCCAGCAGGCAGAACAGAACCGGCTGTGGACCGAACAGAACCGGAGGTTAAGCACCAGAACGACAACCTGGAACACTGTATTATGGGATGGCGCGTTACCTGGACGACGGCGGCGACCCGGCTGCTGCTCAGCAGCCTGAGTGCAGCCTGGTGCAGAACTTCGGCCCTGTTGAGCTGACGCAGGTCCGCAGCCGGCTGGACACACAACACACAGCACACGGGTTCATTCCTCCTGCTGGACCAGAACTCAGAGCTTCTGTCTGCTCCAGCTCTGACCAGGTCCGGTCGAACTGCTCCTCACCGTGTTCAGGACGATGTGATGCAGGCAGCGGACTCCCAGCATGCAGTTCTCCGGCAGGTGGTGGTCGCTGAGCAGGAGGGAGGGGGGGAGGAGGCGGGGGAGGTGGGGGGAGAGGCGGGGCCGGGTCACCTGCACCACAGACACACAAACACCTGAATGAGTCCGTCATCAACAGCCAGGTGCGCCACCGACAGTGCGCCCGCTCAGGTTGTTGCCGTGGAGACGAACCTGCAGCAGCGTCCAGGAAAACACCAGCTTGACCGGTTCACAGCGTTGCCATGACGACCTGAAACACACACACTGTGATCAATCTGGACCTGAACTCTGGAACATTCACGGTCTGAAGGTAGAACTCTGGTCAGTAGACAGAGGTACTGCAGGTACAGAACCAGGTGTTCTGAGGAGGTTCTGGTTGGTTCTGCTGGATGATCCAGGGCAGTTTAACGTCTCACTTGCTGAGCTGAGGCTGCAGAACGTCCAGAACTTCTCCCAGGATTCCTCCGTTCTCCTCCGTGTCTCCCATCAGGAGGTGGGCGGAGTCTCTCCACCGCCCCGCCCTCAGCAGCGCCTCCTGCAGGCAGCGTGCAGCAGCTCTGGAGGCGGAGCTAGTCCACAGCTGGTCCTGAACAGGGAGCAGATCAGATCAATACCCTGATCAGCCGATCACATCAATAAACGGATCAGCAGCTCACCTGGAAGTGTGTGACGGCAAACACGCAGATGGGCGGCGCCACAGCGAGCAGCAGGCCTCCTCTGGCCCCGCCCCCTCGGTCCCAGCTGTCAATCACAGCTGTGAGGGCGGAGCTTACGGTGGCGGCGCGGCCCGGGACGCTCTGATAGGCCGTCGCGCTCAGAGGGCTGCCGTCGTCATCACACAGTGGCAGAGCTGCACAGCCAATCAGAGCGCTGATCAGAGAGCTGTATGCTGCCTGAAGCTCCGCCCTCTCTCCCTCCTGATTGGCTGAGCCAAGACAGAACAACCAGTGAGGATCTGCAGCCTGGAAGAGCTGCTCCACTCGACCAATCAGGGCGCAGGCTTCAGACGGTGAACCAATCAGCTTCTCCTGCAGCTGGAAAAGGAGCTCTGTGATTGGAGGAGAGGCAGAGGGGCGGGGCTTCTCTGAGGAGGAGAGCTGAAGGTCATGAAGCAGAGCTGAGAGCGCCATCCTGAGGACAGAGGGAGGAAAAACAATCAGGAACCGTCCATAAGAACGGTTCTACGAGCTTCAGCAGAAGCAGCCGGACTCGTTCCTGGGTTCTTAAATATTAAATGGTTCTGTGAGGTTCTGGTGACCCAGCTGGTGGCTCTGTGGACGGTCCCCTGTAAACTCCTCAGTGTTCCGACGTGTGTTCTCACATCCTCTCTGAGAACCGGTTCTGACCCGGTGGCTGGAGATGTTCTGCTGCTAGACCTGGAGCTTCCTTACATCTGAGGTGTTGCTGCAGCAGGTTTTCAGGTTTAACTGGAGTTCTGGTTCTGTTTTATGTTCTCCTCACTGACAGAGCAGGACATTGGACCAAGGTTCTGGTCGACGGCCCGGTAGGAGACCAACACGGAGCTTCTCATCTCAAAGGTCCACGTTGAACTGAAACTAATGAAGCTGCTGCGATCAGGACCTCTGACATGGAGGTCCCTAAACCCAGTAGAACCGGTGCAGAACATCCACATGTGGATCCAGTACCGGAACCTTCAGCTCAGACAGCAGCAGGGATTCAGCTTCATGAACATTGAAGTCCAAACCTGAAGCTCGCTGAGGAAAGACGGGAGTCCAGCTGCAGCTGCACCAACTAACCAGCTAACTAACCAGTTAATTAACCAACTAACTACCAGCTAACTAACCAGCTAATTAACCAGCTAACTACCAGCTAACTAACCAGTTAATTAACCAGCTAACTAACCACTTAACTAACCAGCTAACTAACCAGTTAATTAACCAGCTAACTAAGCAGCTGGAGGTATACCAACTAACCAGTAAACTGACCCGTTAACTGGCCGGTTATGAAGCTGGGCCGGTTCTTCCGGTCCGACTGCTGGTTCTGGTGTGAACAGAACTGTTCTGAGGAGTTTTCCTCATGTGGGTCGTGGAACAGTTCCAGAACCCAAAGAGAATCCAGCCGAATGCAGAATCAACTGTTTCTGAGACTTTCTGGGACATTTTCAGTCCAGATCCGGTTCTGTTCTGACCGAGGAGCCAGACGAACCTTCACAAACTCACCGGAAGCTTCTTCTCCTTCACTGGACCGAACCGCTCCAGGTTTCATCTCCTTACACGTTCAGCTTCTCTCAGATTCGCAGCGTTGCTACCGGAAGCTGCGGACCGCTGAGCGGGACGGACGGTGCGCCTACACAAACCTTCCGGCTGCATACAAGCTCCGTGTGAAAGGTTCCTACCCCAGAAACCTGGAGATCCGTCACATGATTCAACGAACTAATCCAAACATGACAAAGAAAAACATGTTCAGGTTAATTTACACCAAAAGGACATTTTGATCATAAAAGACAGAAAACAATAAATAATTCCAGTAAAATGGAACCAGACAGACCAGAGCAGAGCGCTGAGGACCAAACGCTGAACACTTCAGACCAGATGTTGTCGATGCTTTCACACTTCCGGCTGCTGAAGATGCAGCAACAAGAGTCACGATTTAACATCATGTCAAGTCCAGATGAAGCTGTGACCCGGAAAACCTGCAGAAGCACCGGAAGCTGGACCCGTTTTCATTTCCAGCTGCTTTTGTGTTTTAATTTGTTTTTCAAACATTTCAAGCATGAATAGTCGTGTTTGAGTAACTTTTAATACCTTTGTTGTGGTTCTTCTCTCAGTTTCTCATTCGGTGTCGACGTCTTTTATCTTCCATCAAAATGAGGCTTCAGGGTGAATAAAGCTTCAGCAGGAAGAGAAAGTAGCTCCATCTCCAGAGCACAAGCTTTCAGATCATCGTCGTCTTTTCTTTGACATCAGAATGTAAACAAACTCCATGATATTAATTCATCGTGTTCCTGTGAAGCCAGGACAGTAAAATCTAAACCAACGTCAACTAAATATTTCTACATGAATTAACAAAAGAAAAAATCCTTCAAAATAAATTAAAACATGTTAAATGACTGGATGTTCAAAATAAAATAAACACAAACTGAAGCTATGAAGGGCTGCAGGTGGATCAGTGGTTAGCAACGTCGCCTCACAGCCAGAAGGTCACCGGTTCACGTCCCGGTGAGGACACCCGGGATCTTCCTGCGTGGAGTCTCCATGTTCTCCCCGTGCAGCGTGGGTTCTCTCCGGGTTCTCCGGCTTCCTCCCACAGTCCAGAAACATGCTGAGGTTAATTGGTGATTGTAAATTGTCCGTAGGTGTGAATGTGAGTGTGCTTGGTTGTCTGTCTCTAAGTGTAGCCCTGTGATAGACTGGTTACCTGTCCAGGTGAACCTAGTGAGGACTAAGGTGTAGAGATGACGGATGGGTGATGCTATGGACTGTGTGTGGATCCCTTTGCTGTTTCTGTGCAGATGCTTTGTGTCTTTGGGTGTTTTTTGTGTTCCTGTTGTGGTTCCATCGTCCTCCACACAACAAACTCTACAGAGGTTCTGGGCTCGTGGTGCCGGTCCGTTCCTTCCCTGATCCTGACCTCCAGTCAGGTGAACGAAAGTGAAAACTGAAAAACTGAAGTTACAGAAAACTACAAACATCAAACTGAGTTTTTTTTTCTTTTTTTAAAAAAATCGTCTAAAATCCTAAAACTGGATTTAAAAAACGGCTTAAATCTCCAGAACGTCCAACTGTCTTCAGAATAAAGTGAGTCAGAAGGAAGCATCAGAAGAAACCAAAACACGGAGGGAGAAGACGCGTCACTGCAACCTGCTGCGACTCGTCTCCTGCCGTCTTCGTGCTGTTTGTGGTGACATTAGCAGCAGATTAAAAGCCAGAACACACGTTTTAAACTGATTTTTCCTCTTTTCTGATTCACCATTAATCCGCCTCAGAGGGCCTGAACGTTTCCGACCTGTTTGCTCAGAAAATCCCACATCAGAGCGGAAACACGGGCTTTGATGGGCCACAGAGCGACTCGCTGTTTGTTCAGGGTTCAAAGCAGGAGGAAACGTTTTGAAGCAGTTTGTGTGTTTGAAGCTGCTGTCAGAGGATGTAATTAACACTCACACACACACAAACCACTAAATGTTCATCATGTCGACAGGTTTCACGCATTTGTATCAGTTCAGCTCCTGCTGCTCTACATCAGTCCTGTTTTATCTGCTGTGAAGGACCATCAGGTTACATGGCTTCTCATCAACACTTTGCTCTCTTCAGGTCATCTTCTGCTCTAACTGAAGCTAGCTTTAATCATCTGTTGTTCTTGAGCACATGCTAGCTAAGTTAGCATCTAAACACAGCTACCGTTGTTAGTTTTAGGATAAAAATATGAATGTAATCGATCACTGTGAACAGCTCACATACAGGAGGATCACAGCGTCATGTTGTGGTTTCTGAGCATGAAACAGACTACAGCTAACAGAGATTAGCATTTAGCATGATGAAGGACAAGAAGCTACCTGGCTGTTAGCGAGTCACGTTAAAGGCTGCGGGTTATTAAAACACGTAAAACAAGGTTCAGCTACCATCACGTCTGTGTCAAAGACTGTAAATAAAGATCAAAGGATTTAAACTAGGTCAAGGTTTAGTCAGTGCAATGCTAAGGCTAGCTGAGGGTTAGACTGGTTTTAACAAACCAAATAATAAAATAGTAAAATCTGAGATTGACCATCAGGTTATAACAAATCAGGCTCAGGATGATCATTAGCCTGTCACATAACATAACAGCTAGTCTGGTGGTTAGCCTGACAGCTAGCCTGACAGACATTTAACCGACAGTTAGCCTGGTGGTTAGCTTGACAGCTAGCATGGTGGTTAGCATGACAGCTAACCTGGTGGTTAGACATTTAACCGACAGTTAGCTTGGTGATTAGCATGACAGGTAGCCTGGTGATTAGCATGACAGGTAAAATAACTTGAAAGTAAGTCAGACTAAGTGGAACAAGCCTGGATTATCAGGTAAACTCACTTTATACCCAAGATTTAAACTAGCTCAGGGTTTAGAAACCTCATCACTGAGTCAGAACCAATAAACGGACCTGAGTTTATTCCTCCTTCATCCTGAAACTCAGACGCGCTTCTACCAGAGCTGATGATGCTGACAATAACAACAACAACAACAACAACAACAACAACAATAATAATCAGAGTGTGTTTGAAAAACGACCCCTTATAGAAGAAAACCTGCATCTGAGTCTTTCATCATCACCCTCCTGTTCACTCCACCTAACTGTCAGGAAATTAAAGAGCAGATAAGAAGCATGAACACACACACGCGTAAGCAGGTGTTGTCCAGGTGACAGCAGGTTTAATGGTGATACAGGTCAGAGGTCAGACAGACTCGGTTTCACATCAACACTTTGGTTTCAGACTGAAGAGTGAACACATGAATGAACACATGAATGAACAGAACCATTCTTTCAATAAACTCACGTTTACATGGAAATCCTGTTAACTAACGTCATGTTTCTTAGAACAATGGAGGAAAGGGGAACAGCCTCTGGGTGTTCACTGGTACCGATCAGGTCCGAAGTCAGAGACACTACAGTCCTCTTGTTGGTGAAGGTGAGATGTTCTGGGACCACTGAAGGGACATTTAGTTTACAAAACAAACGTAACTCCAGTGAACACCAACCAAACCTGATAAACACAGAGCGAGAACGGTGTGCCACTGCTAATGCTAGCATGTGATGCTAACTAGCGTCCTGCCTGCAGTAACAGTGAGAAGGTCACCAGGAGACTGGACAGGACCACTGAAGCATCACCGGACTCTAAGCTGCATCACAGTTCACCAGCAGAGTGGTTCCTCTGATGAAGAACCAGAGACAAACCACTCAGAAAGACAATACGGGAAGTTCAGGTCATAAAGTCCAGCTGTGGTTCCCATCAGTCCACCTGCATGAACATGGTTCTACAACGAGCTGANATGAATGAATGAATGAATTGGTGATTAGATAAATGGATGACAGGCTGGATGGACAGATTACTTGATGGATGAATGAATGAATCAGTGACACAACAGTGGAGTGATGTTTGGATGGATGGATGAATAGATTAATTAAAACATAATAGGAACATGAATGAGTGATGTAGGAACTGATGGACTGATTGGAGAGATGAATGAATGACTGGATGGAAGGATGAATAAATCACTTGATGAGGGAGTGTATGAAAAGATCATCGGACAAAAAAACACATTGATGAACGGGTGAGAAATGAATCAATGATGATCTCAGGACGTATGAGTGGATGAATGGATGGATGATTGACTAGATGTTTGGTTGGATGGAGGGGTGACCAACAGATGAATGGATGATTGTCAGGATTAGCGAATCAATCTTTGGATGGACGACTGGATTAAAAGGTAAATAAACTGATGGACAAATGACTGGATGATGAATGGCTGACCAATTAATTGATGCATGAACAGTTCATTGAAAAATGATTGGGTGAACACGTAGAGTGATGGATGAATGATTAGATGAACGGATGATTGTCAGGACTGAAACATGAATGAATAAATGAATGGAAGGATGGAGTGATGTTTAGATGGATTGGCCAACGGACAGATGAACACATAATAGGAACATGAATGAATGAATGAATGAATGGTGAATAAAGTGATGATGGGTGAAGTATAATAAGATGGATGAAGGGAATAATGGATAGATGAAAGACGGATGATGAATGGATGATTAGATGACAGGATGAATGAATCAAGTAATAAAGTGTATACAAAGATT